CAGGTGGCCAGAATATTGGAGTTCCAGCTTCAGCATCAGTCCTTCCAGTGAGTATTCGTTTGAATACCTGATTTCCTTTAGGGTTGATTTCCTTTAGGATTGACTGGTTTGATTTCCTTGTTGTCCAATGAACTCTCAAGAGTCTTCTCTTCCCTCTAAAAACTACTAATGTCTTACAGATAATACTAATGGGTATATTCCTTCCTTTAGCAGGCCACACATCAACATTTTTATTTTTAGTTTAGGGAAGAAACTAACATTCAATAGAGTTTAATGTTAGAAAGTTTCTTCTAGAGTACCCATTGATCTTAGAATATTCTGAGATCGAGGGTGGGCCTAAAGGTCACTATACATAGGATAGAAACAGACAAGGAAATCTGCCAGAACTAGAGCATGCCATGGAGGCTTCATGAACAGAAGACACTGCAGTTCTTCCTGAGGTTGTTCTTGTCGCCACTCAGGTAGATCCCACCCGCCCCATTATTTCCCATCTACATGGCATTTTCCTGGTGTCCTGTTTCTGAACACAACTTCATGGGAACCACCACAGCATAAGAGTAAGATGGAGCAGCCTGGGAGGACTCAGATGTAGAAACAGACCCTCCTTCTGAGTGCAGCTTTTGTGAGCATCAGAGTCAGTGACAAATGATGACACCACGCGGACAGGTGGGCTGTGGGGACAAGTGATCGGGACAAGGCGGGGTGTGTGTGTGGTGGGATCAGACACAAAACATCAGGGACCCCTGGGTCGCTTAATCTCACAGGAACTCTAAAAGGTAATTGGATCTGGCCATAGAGTGAAGCCAAAAGAAGTAGTTTGGGGATTCAGGCAAAAAGCATCAAGAAGGCTCCAGGTAATCAGCCATTGATATGGGCCCAGAAGATAGGATTCTCAATCTTGGGAATGCTCTAGCAAGAGCAGGCCACAGCCCTCATTTTAAACAGACAAATCTCCCAAAGCATATTATAAACACCGGGCTTGGACACAAAAATGCATAAGAGCCATTATTATAGATAAGGTATGATGTGGACAGTGAGAGGCATCAGAGCTCCTGACCTACAGGTTGACCAAGTAAATTAAATTACAGACCAGAGATGGCGGTGTTAAAAATCATTGTGCTAGGACCCCAGGCATAAATCAGGAATGTTTCAGAAAATGGGACATATGATCACCCCAGTTATATGTTACCTGGCTGTGGTGAATCCCCAGGCAGAATTCAACTAAACAGGGCTAAGAAAAGAAGAGAATGCAAAGGTTGAAAACTAAAGAAAACCTGACTTAGGAGGCAGCTTTTCTTTCTTTTCTTTGCTTTTGGTATTTGAAGAGATGGTGTGAAAAACCAAAGATGCTAGCATACATTTATTTTTAATTTTTTTTCCTGTCTTAATTCACAGCCAGAGGGTACCATGCTTATTCCAGCAACAGCACACGACATGAAAATTCTTGCAAAAAGTTTCTTGAGAAGATTGAAGAGCAAGAGGGCAAATTTACTCTGGCAGTGGGGTCAGCAACAGAAAGCAGGCTTGTCTAAAGAACAAGCTTCTCTAACATCCTGCCAGTTTCCACTTCGGGCATGACCAAACTGCTGGTGATGCCCACAGGATTTGTGCAAGAGGCGGCCAGGAGAACAAAGCCAGAGGCTGTGGACGTTAGCTCATTAGAAGTTTTGGAAACATTAAAAAAAAGAAAATCAGATGTTTATCACCAGACTGATAATGATGTCACCCAAGAGGACTCACGTTGTTAGGAGAGACACTTTTCTAAGACAAAGATCTTTATGGGAAATGTTCCCGGATCCCAAAGGTAATCAAAGAATGGATTGGTGGCTGCCTCTAAATGCTGCCATCTTAGCTTCAGGCAGACGGTCTGAGCTGGGCCTCTGTTTTGTAACTGCTGAAATACTATCCTCAGAAAGGAAGCAGAGCTTTATTAGAGATCTTAAAAATAAAAAGACTTTGGGGAGCAATTTGACTAAGCAAGGCTCCAGTACTGTTCCTGCGGCAGGATTGTTCCTGCACACCTCGGTGTCAACTCTGAAAACTAGCCTGGCTCTGGAAAGCCATTGTCATTATTAAGACATTCGGAAGGACGATTTCAGCAGCAGTATGCTTGGAGGGGAGAGAAGTGTAGGCTTCACCTTCTACAGTGAGGCCTTGTATCCTCTTGGTCATATTAGCAGTTTAGTGCCCTTTAGCCTTGGGAAACTCCCTCCGCCCTCTCTCTGCACAAAGCTTCTCTTCAAAGTTTACACTTTCGGGGATTTGGAGGATTAGAAATACAGCATTGAAGTGCATGGTGGGTCAGCCAGGCCTTAAGTTAATTAACATCATGCCCTTAAGTAGAGTTTGACACTGCAATCATTGTGCAAGGAATGTCAGCACGAAGTGAAAGAAAGTCCTTGTCCCACAAGACATTTCAGCCCTCCCCACAAATTCATAGGCCTCTTCCTTCTTTTTCTCTTATTTTTCTGTTGGTACTTATTGGCTACCCAATATATATTGGATATATCCATATATTTTTACTTAGGTTTTGTTGCTATTGTTATACATGAAGTCAGGATCCTGTTTCATAAATTTCTCTGTTCCCAGTGTCTGGTATATGACGGGTGTTCCATAACATTTGCTGAATGAAAGAATGATGGATCTAAATATATCCTTATATAATATGAGTCATTCAATATAGATTGCCCTCCAGGTGTAAGGTAATTAATTGAGAAAACGGGTTCTCCAAAATTCTGGTCTTTTACTCCTGTGCCTGGAGGCTTCTGGGCTGGAGACTCTTAGGAAAGAAAGGAATTTGAAGGAATATTCGAGGATCTATGGAATGAAGTTGAGTATGGGGCTAAGGAATGGGTAAATGGATGCATTCACCCACATTTTGGAATTTTTTAAAAAGCCAGACTAACACCAATAACCAGGCTATTAAAAATGTCCTATTTCTGGGACTTGCCTGGAGGTCCAGCAGTTAAAACTCTGCTTTTAAGACTCTGCTTCCAATGCAGGCGGCACAGGTTCAATCCCTGGTCAGGGAACTGAGATTCCACGTGCCACTTGGTGTGGCGGATCGGGGGCGCGGGGCGGGAGATAGTGTTTCTTAAATGTCCATCACTTAATCATATCCATGAGTATTACTTGGCTGACCTCTCTTTACAACAATAAATTCTTGAAACAAACAAACCAACAAGGTTCAATAAGAGCCAGGAAATAGAAAACAGGTACTGTGTCCCAAATCTAAGGAAAAAATCCTAAAAAAAACAAGGAAAGCAAAGGGTTTTAAAAGGAAAGAAGGGGAAGCACATACAAGCATGCTTCATAAGGCCAAGTTAGAGACAGCACTGGGAGAAGGCGGGCACTGAGACCCTCCACCAAAGACTGAAACCAGAGGTCAGACAAGAGGCATCACCGCCTCGTCCTCCCGCTCCAGCGCCTCCCACCACAAGCAGTTGTTTAGTCTTCCTGCTCATGTTTTCACTGTAGTGATAGTCTTACATCAGGTTTTTCTCAGTAATCTCTAGAGCCATGACCTTAGCTCCAGGCTTTGTCGTTTTCCCATAAGAATGCAATAACTACCATGTCAATCTGTCTTTCCGAGTCCCCAAGGGCAAACCTGACCACTCTACCCTCTGGTGTAAAATCCTGCAGAGGCTCCTCCTCAGCCTATTTCCTGGTGGCTCAGACGGTAAAGCATCTGCCTACCATGCGGGAGACCTGGGTTCAAACCCTGGGTCAGGAAGATCTCCTGGAGAAGGAAATGGCAACCCACTCCAGTATTCTTGCGTGGAAAATCCCATGGATGGAGGAACCTGGTAGGCTACAGTCCATGGGGTCGCAAAGAGTCAGACACGACTGAGCGACTTCACTTTCTTTCTTTCTTTCAGCCTATTTAAATGATGTCCATTCAAGCTCTATTTCCAAACCATGGGCTCAAAGGTTCACAGCAAAGCCTAAGTGTTAATTTCCCTTAGTGCAGAGACGATGCCTATCTTACTCAAAGATGAATCCCAAACAATTAGCAAAGTGCCTGTACTCCACAAGTATACAATATGTGTATTCCACAAATAAATAAGTGGAAAAATTGTGATTTCCAACTATGCAGAATGCAACCTTAGTAATGTAAAACATACATACATATATATATACACACATATTTATATATATGCACATAGGACATATCAGAAAAATATATTGAACCATTTACTTTTAATTTATGATTTTTTAAATTTTTTCCAAAATGTATGATGAAACTATTTATTTCTCTGATACTGAGACGCAGAGACAAAGGGAGCAGAGTAAAAGTTGTGCCCCTGACATGTCAGATAACAGTGTGGGGTGCAGAGGGGAGGGTCAGCCTCTCACCAGCTCACACTGGATTCTGCGTCTTCTGGCCCTGACTTGGCCCACACTTCCTGCTACTCCCTGCCACCAGGAGGGTGAGCAGTGCCAAGCCACAATATGTTCCTTACAGGCGTATTTGCCACCCACTCTCTCACCCCACTATTCCAATATTCCCAATGTGCTAGTTCTGTGTCTTGGCCATCTTTTCATTTCTAGGGCAAAGCACAGTTCCTGATACACAGTGAAACATATTAAGTGTTGATGGAGTCAACTAATACTTGAATAAAGCACTGACACTGAAGGTGAAGCCTGTTTCTTTCATTGACTAAAATCATTCTTACCTACCAGGGCTGCTGTGAGGCCTAAATGAGAAAACACACAAAAATCCCACTGACATATCATATGCACTCCATACATGAACACAGTTATTGAATACTGTCAGTGTGACATACACAGGTTGCTTTGCTGGCTTAACCACAAACACCTTAAATTGTGGGTCACAGTTGTACCCATCCCCTTGAAATGAGAAAGAGCTTAAAGCAGTTTGAGAACTACGAATCGCTAAACAAACATACACTATTATTATGATAATAATGATGATGATTATATGCCATTTTCTTTTTGAATCCTGCCTACAATAAGTTTATCCTTTAAGGTCACTTTACCTTTGCCGATGTTTCAAACCATCCCACGAAACCATGCTCCTTGCAGAACTGGTCCATCTTGAGGCCATTGTTCAGTAGCACATCCTTCCCCTGGTCACATTTGTTGGCCAACAAAACCACTGAAACTGGTTTGCCATTAGGGAGACTTAACTTTGAGTCCAAGTCATTCTTCCACTTTGTCACTGCTTCAAATGTAGCTGGTCTGGTGACATCGAAGACAATAAATGCACCCATAGCTTCTCGGTAATAGACCCGTGTCATGTTTCCAAATCTTTCTTGACCTATCACCAAAAAGAAATAGAAATCAAAAATTCATTTCTGTTGTAAACTGAATCATATATTGGACCCTAATAAGGCTTCCAGAATGAGCAGATCACTCCGTAAAGTGTTTCATTGCTTATCTATAAAAAATGCGCTAAATATACAACCAGGAAGCTCCTGTTTTGGGGTTTTTTTTTTTAATCCCAAGGGGATTCATTGATGTAATAAGTAATTATTAAAATATCCTTGAACCATGCAACATTCCAGAACTGTGCTAATACAATATACCCCTAGCACATATGCCTACTTTGGTTTAATTAAAATGAAACAAAATTTAAAATTCAGTTCCTCAGTCACATTTCAAGTGTTTGATAACCACATGTGGTTGTGGCTACAGTATTAGACACCACAATAGAGAACATTTTCATTATCATAGAATGTTCTACTGGACAGTACTGTTCTAAATATTTGGAATACAATGATTAAAACATGAAAATACTTCCCATCATGGAGTTTACATTTTAGTGGGACAATTAGTACTAATTAGATTAGTATGTTACAGAGGCATCCGCAGTTAACTCCTGTTAAGGATAATAGTAATAGCTAGCATTTATTGTACATTCACTAACCATCAGAAATGTGATTTTCATAAATAATCATGAAGGTACAATTGTTATTCCCATTTTAAAGTGAGACCAAGAGAGGCTAAGTAACTTCTTCAGATTATACAGATGCAAGCTTAAGAAGTTACAATCCAAAGTTGAGCTTTTTGAATCCAAAGCTCATAGTTATTTACCAACAATGAATACCCTCAGTTACTAAACCATGGTCTTGTACTATCTCTCCCCGGGGTTTATGTACCAGGAGTGTCCCATTCCACTCAGCTGAACAGAACACATGTTTATCCATTGATGCCAGTTTCTGAGCTACCTGCTAGGAATATGACAGTGAACTAGATGACCTATACCCTTAACTAGCCTGCAATCTATTGGATAAGGAAAGCCTTCTGACATATAAATATGTAAATAAATAAATGGATTGGTCTTATTTAGACCAATCAGCTAGAATCAGTTTTGCTCTGATTCTTAATTTTCTAAATGAATATTAGCAAGTTTCTTAAACACAATAAGTTTAGCTTTTCTCATCTGCAAAACAGAAGTAATAATATGCACTTCACAGGGCTGTTATGTGGATGAAATGAATTGATGTATGTAAAGCACCCAGTACTGTCCCTTTGCAACTAGCTGGTACTTGAGTTTTTCCTCCCTTTCTCCAGAATGTTAAAAATTATAACAGACAACATGACAAAGGTAGTGAAATCAGAGTTCTAGACCAGAGTTTGTGAAAGCCTATTACAGGAATTTGAGCTGATCAACAAATATGAAAAAAATCCTATTGCTTGTAACTCTGTCCACAGGTAATTGCTGAAGATGGGAGATACTGAAGACTGGGTTTCTGTTTTCTGAACCCCAAATTCCAGAAGTGTATGATCAGGCAGAGTTATTTTATTGTGATTTGGGAATCTGTTCATGTTTAGAGTTTTATGAAGTTTCAGAAATTAAAACAAAGTCAAGTGTGTATAGAATAAGCCAACTTCTCTTTAAAAAAATGCTGAAACTGGCATGTATCTGGAGGTCAACCTACCTCTAAGGACACTTAACATTTGAGTTCAAGGCTTTGTGATGGTGAGTTTTAATTCAAGCTACCAAATTCTTTCATAGGTCATGTTCACACTGACATTAGCACTGCATATTGTAAGAGGAACTGACCCATAAGCACTTAATGAAAACGCATGAAGGTCAAGGCTTCCTCACCTAGCGTGTGAGCCTGTGTCCTCAAGCACATATCACTGGAAAGAAAAGCACTTTGCCAGGGCCACCACATGACCGTCCTAAAATATTCCTTACTTGGGTTATACCAGTACTCTAAAAAATTCCCCACAATCATCTTGTCAATGAAACAGAGTGGTATAATACTCCTCATATGACCCAAAGCCCACAGATGAACTTTCATTTTCCCCAAATGAGTTCTAAATTTCTTTTATTTCCTTTTTCTGTTGTTTTAGATCCTCATGCATACAGCATTTCCTTTGATACTGATCAGGGAGGCCATGACATTTCAGGAAGACAGGGGAAAAAGGCCCTCTGTGATCACTCAGAACTCTGAGGGCCTCTGGGCTTTTTCAGGATGTCTTATGATCCCTTTCAGAGAAATAATCAGATGAAGGGCAAAGTCATGGGTTATTCAATAATCTGCTTGTCCAGGGTTTTCATAGTACAGTAAGGCAGCCTTTAAGAAGAAAGATTTTACATTTCAAATATATGGCAAAGGGTCCATACAAAAAAAAAAAAAGGAAAAGAAAAGAAAGCACACACTACATAGACTTACACCTGCGTAGGGATTGTGTGTGTGTGTGTGTGTGTGTGTGTATGTTTGAGTTTGTGAGGGTATGTGTGTCAGATCAGAAACCAGAAGAAAAAGGCTTGTTTCTAGAAAGAAAAGACCTTTGTATATGGAGGTCACTGGGCCAAGAGACTTGGCAAGTTTGTATTTTTGGCATTCCAGCAAGAGGTCACATTCAGACTAAAGGCTTTCCAGCACTCATTTTATCGTGCCTTTGTCAGCTGACAGCCCTCTCCGCTGTTTCTTAAGAAAAGAATGAGAACCATGTGATGCTTAGTGAGTGCCTACATGTGGACCAAGTAGAGACCTGATGAATCCATCACAGGTGATTTACTTTTTAAACAAAGAATATAGTTCAAAAAAAAAAATGCCACTGGGGTCAAATCACTCATTTGACACATATTTATTGAATAGATGATATGGTCCAGGTTCTGTGATTTGTGCTGCAGATACAGAATTTTTGTCCTCAAGGAACTTCTAAGCCAAAAAGTGTCATACTGGAGGCCCAGATTGAAAATGAGTTGGTTCTCCACATAGGTCCCCATTTCTTGTCCAACATAAACACACACTCCATAGCCATGTAGGCGTGGCTCATGATTCAGTTTTCAGCTGAAAGGGATATTAAATGATAAAGCAATCAGCTGAATCACAAAGGTTAGTACAATGGCTGTGGTAAGAGACTGGATACCCTCCCACATAAATCACTAAGTCGAAGGGTCAGAAGATGGCAAGCGGGAGTGGGGCGCAGGGAGGCTTCATTTTAATCCCCTATTACCTGTGCAGCCGTATACAACTATATTTCTCTCCGAGACTCAGTTTCCTCATCTGTAAAATGAAGTTGTTCTGGCCAATCTCTAAGTCTGCTTGCTGTTTTCATGCCCGCTAGCCCTATGTTGGGCTTCCCAGGTGGTGCTAGTGGTAAAGAGCCCGCCTGCCAATGCAGGAGACGTAAGAGATGCGCGTTCGATCCCGGGGTCGGGATGACCTCCTGGAGGAGGGCATGGCAATTCACTCCAGTGTTCATGCCTGGAGACTCCCATGGACAGAGGAGCCTGGCAGCTACAGTCCATGGGGTCACAGAGTCAGACATGACTGAAGAGGCTTAGCACACATGCACAAAGCCCAATGATAACACCATGAAATGAAGGCCTGGTTCTCTCTTCCAATGGCCTGCAATGGCCCGTTTGCTGTCATGGATCCAGATAAAAACATACACCAGCAACACTGCTATAGTGTGTATTTAAGAACATTTTTCACCTGGTAACTATTTAATAGTAGTATCTAGATGCTCTCAGCATAACCAAGCAGTGAATCTTCTAGACAGGTATAAAAATAACAAGAGGATTTTCTAATAACCAACTAGCTGTGTGACCTCAAATTAGTCACTTCATCATTCAGAGTCTCAGTTACCTCATTGGTAAAACAAGGAACTGAATTAAACACCCAAATTAAGTTCATTATTGCCTCTGGCCAACCCCGTTTGATCAGCTTCCCCGATATGAAGACATCCAGTTACCTGCCTCCCACTTTCCCTGTTCTCTGTGCTGGTTCCCAGAAACACCATCCACACCGCCACCAGAGCGGTCCCTAAAGTCACCTTCCAGCTGCTTCCTCAAGCCCACATCCCACCCACACTTCTAGGTTCAAAACGGGCTCTTGGCTTTGCCCTTCTGCTCCACTAGCACTCTCATTGCTCCAGTTCAAGCCCTCATATGGACCCCTGAAAGCTCTTGAGGTTCTTGGCATCTCATTATCACCCCCATTTCCCCTTAAAATAAATATAACTAACACAGATCTTCAGACAGTTGCTGTTCTGGCAGCACAAGAAATCACCTGATGGGTCTATATAAAGGAGATGAAATCACTACCTTGAACAGGCACACTCATGTCCATTGACAGAACAATGGACAAAGAAAATGTGGTGTGGTCATCCCTCAGTATACACAGAACATTGGTTCCAGGACCCACTAAACATATGAAAATCCGCAGGTGCTCAGGTCCCTTATAAAATGCACTCTGTCCTTTATAATCTGTGGATGTGGAATTTGCAGATACAGAAGACCAACTATAAACATGTACAATAGAATATTACTCAGTCATAAAAGAGAAGGAAATCCTGTCTTTTACAATAACATTAGTATTATATTAGAGAAATAAATCAGACAGAGGGAGAAAAATACCATTTGATCTCACTTATACAAAGAAACTAAAAACTCCATAACAGCCAAAAATTCATAAAAACAGAATAAAATGGTGGTTGTCAGGGGCTAGGGGGTGGGAGAATTGAGGAGATGTTGGTTAAAGGTACACATTTCCAGTAATAAGATGAATAAATTCTGGAGATCTTAGGTACAGCATGGTGACTATAGTCAACAATACTGTATTACATAATGGAAAGTTGCTAAAAGAGTAAGTCTCAAATGTTCTCAGCAAACACAAGAAGGTCATTTGGTGAGGTGTGTGTGTTCTGTCGCTTCAGTTGTGTCCGACTCTTTGCAGCCTATGGACTGTAGCTGGCCAGGCTCCTCTGTCCATCAGATTCTGCAGGCAAGAACACTGGAGTAGGTTGTTGTGCTCTCCTCTTGGGGATCTTCTCAAACCAGGAACCGAACTCCAG